TGACCCACAGGGATCAGTAAGCTCATAAATTTGATCTCTGGATTGGATTGATTGAGCCAAGTTAGTGTTTGTGTCATTAAGTCCAGGAGGGAAATATCAGAGTTTCCATTTGTAACAGCTATCCAACAACCTTTGCTGGAAGTACAAATATACAGAATTGGACAAAGGTAGTTTAATGCTCTGCTGTAATGATCCCTCGAGAGGAACTGTCTGTGATCATTGACCATCAATGCTCATACATGAATAAAAAGCCAACTGAATGAGACATCAAAAGACAAGAGATTTTGTATAATTATACTCCATAACAGGCAGACTCACCTTTCAGAATAGCTATCATTCAACCAAATTACAGTTCTTGTCTTTCACCTCTATTTATTTTTGATATTTGTTGGTAATTCAGGTAGTTCAAACTTAAACAGCATCTCACTCAGAAAACTGTACAGTAGATCGGAGACAAGGCATTAGTGATACCACTTTGCTTTAAAACATTCAGGGGGTCAGGAGACTGCATATAGATAACGTTCCTGGACTGGTACTCCAGGAACTCCAGGCTAAAGCTCTAGGGACATGACTTCAAATCCTGCTATGGCAACTGCAAATTCAAAATCAACAAATCCAGATTGTAAAGCTAGAATCAATTATGGTGCCCATTAAATTGTTTAATGAAAATCACAGAATTATTGTGGTACAGAAATAGGCAATTTGTCATTAAGAGCCATCTGTTTCACTAATGCCCTTCAGGGGAGGCCCTTACATGGCCTGGCCTAGACATGACTCCAGACCCACAGCAATATGGTTGATGCTTAACTGTTCTAGCAAGCCACTCAGTTCCAGTCGAGTGAGGGATGCAAAATAAATGCCAGCAGTGCACACATTTTAAAAAAATTTGCTGGAAGGTGAGTTCCAACACATATATTCAACATTAATCTTTACCTTCTGCTTTCACCACAAATCAAATTTATTTATTTTTGGCATGTTGCTGTTTATGATTGTTTAGTTTAGATTCTGATGTTGACCAATGTTTAAGGCTCAGAATTCCACAAAGAGCAACTCTCACCATTAACTCCCACATTCTGTTGGAATTTGGTCTTGAACTGGTTTTTCATGCTGTTCATTAGTTTGATATACCAATGGGTAGCTTGTGGATATATATTCAGGCTTTCATATTCTATTTAGATAGTGATTTTTTAAATGTCCCCTCTTTACTTTTGATTTCACAATTTTATAATGACAATAAAAAAAAATGTCACAGCAATGTAGTTGACTCTTAACTGCCCTCTGGGCAATTAGGGATGTGCAATGAATGCTGGCCTAGGCAGCGACACCCATATCCTGTGAATAAATAAAAGAACGTTTTTGTACTTCAGCAAAATCTTTCAGAGTGAAAGATTCTATTTGCATAGGTATTTAACATTTTGCAGCAAATACCTGACATTCCATTATACCAAAGAGTCTAAATACTCATAAGTTTTACATTTATATTGGCTGTGTTTTGGTGTAAAACGTTTAAAAGTTAATTTTCCAACAATAGTCGAGATGGTTATTCTTCCTTTTCCAAAAGATGACAACTTTCATTTGAAATGAACACAATTGTTGTTTGACTGGAGGGACCCTGCAACATATTATATAAAGAACTGAGACTTTTTTACCATTGTGAGAAATTAGTTTAATTTCCTGTTCTTATTTCTTCTGAAGTTGAGTCATCCTTATTTAGGGAAATGCAAATGCATCACAATTTTAGTTTTAACTGCAAACATGCCCAAAAGTACTCAGGAGGAAACTGACATTTCTCTCATCCATCAGTGATTTGTAAAAGTGTTGATAAACTGAAAATTGTCATTTCATGAATGTGTATTGAACCCTAACAATGCAGACAATTTACAACTCTATGTTCAATTTGACATAACCCAAGTTTTTGTTTTATGACTACAATCTCAAACCAGCTTCAGGAGTGGTATTATCCCACTTCTATAATTTGGCCATTATGGAACTGAATTATAGCATCTATCATGAAAGACCAAATTCATAAGTTTTGTGCATGCATGTGCTTTTCTACATGCAAAGCCAATAAAACAGAATAAACTGTGCAATCTGTACCAAGTGATGTGATAGTATGCCTTATTAACACTTGTTCCTCCCCTGTATCATAGGCACAGGGTGCAGTCACATTGCACTGGATGCTAGGATGGGTGAGTTGAAACAGTAAAAAGAAGGCCTTAATACAAAAGAAAGTACAGTGCATGCTGGAAATCAGAAATATAAACAGAAAATGCTGGGAATAATCAGCATGTATGGCATTATTTGAGAGAGAAATGAATGAATGTGCAAGACTTTGACTACCTTAACAAAGTCTCATTTGTTTTTGTCAGTCTGGAACATTTGGTGGGAGGCAGGTCCTCTTCCCCATTCCCCATTCTCTCAATATTGTCAGGTGGAGGCAGCAAACAGTCACAAATGGGACAGGAGGCCAACTGTGGATGGTAGGTAGACCGTCCACATTGCTGGCCCAATGAGAGGGGTCAGCAAACATTGTTCAACAAAACAGCTGTGGTTGAGGCAGCAATGGAAACACCAGGGCACCTCCATCTTCAGGCATGCTCTCAAGGGTGAACATTAAATATGTTTTCTCTTATTCTGGTTCTATCTTGCAGAACCTGGAGAAGTGAAAGGAAACCTGTCCAGCTGTAAAGGTGGGACTGCAGGGACATCATTTGTTGATAGCAACAAACCCCAGAATGGCATGAGACCACTCTACCCTTGCTAAAATGCAAGCCACCCAGGAAAACGGCACATAATTGGGTCATAAATACTTCAAATTAACTGTCCATTTCTGTCTGACAGATCAGGCTGCTGAAGTTGCCATCGCTGTGGAGTCATTCCAATGTGGCTCTGTTCTCATTACATGGGAACTGGTAAAATTCTGCCCACTATTACAGATGGACCAGCTTACATCAGAGTTAGAGATGGACTAAATGACCTCCTTTAGTGCGAAAAATCTTTCACATTTTTATGTAACTAGCTTTAAAACAGTGTAAGGGGGATGGGTAGACAGCTGCTGTTCATGACTCTGCTGTTCACACTTTTTCAAAACACCTCTTGTGTTTCATTGCTGGCCCCATCACTCCTCCATTTGGCCTTACACCATTGATACTTTTGACATTTAATCTCCCCTGCCTTCCTATCAGTGCTTCCTATTTTTCTCTCCACCATCCACCCCCATGCCCTTTCACTTACTTAAAATCTGTTACAGTTGTCATTTTTCTTAATCCTGATGAACAGATACAGGCCTGGAACATTAATTTTGATTCTCTGTCCACAGATGCTGCCAGAGCTGCTGACTGTTTCCAGTATTTTCTGTTTTTATTTCAGATTTCCAACATTTATAGAACTTTATTTTTCTATGAGCTGAATAGATAAATGGCTTTTCCTTGACCTCACATCTTATGTTCCTTCTTTTCAGAGTGACAGAGTGACCGAGTTGCCTGCCTTTAGCATCTCTAAATTCGGGTCATCACAGCAAAAGGTCAAAAGGAGAATTTCCAACTATACCACTTGGTGAGATGGGGAGGGTTAACTGCTGCAGTGGATTGTCCACCTGTTTGAGCACCTTCTCAATTTTAATTGCTTTCTGAGGAGGAATGGTTTCAGTTTCTCTTGGTGAAGGCAAAAATGACGTATGTCTATGTCTACCCTACTCACATTTGAACTGGAAGCAAACAGTGTAACATGTACTAATGGTTACCTAGTCTTTTGAGTCAATGGTCCTGAAGGTGTGATGGTGACAGTTCTCACCAAACGTTTGGGAAGTTTCTGAGGCAGATACTGTTGAAATGATTAATTCCATTGCCAAGTCAGTCAACTTAATTAAAAGAATGAACTATGGATGCTGGAGATCTGAAATTAAAAAAACAGAAACTGCTGGAGAAACTCAGTAGGTCAGGCAGCATCTGTGGAGACAAACACATTTTTCTTAATTCTGGTCAACAGTTCCAGAACTGGAACATGAATTTTGATTCTCTGTCCACAGATGCTGAGTTTCTCCAGCAATTTCTGTTTTTGTTTGAATCAACTTAATGGTTTTCTAAGTGATCTATGTAAGATGATGTGACAGAGGACTACATTATATCTACACTCAAAGAATAAAAATTAATAATCATGCCTGCACATAATGTAAAACATGATCTGGATGAGGACTAGAAAGTGCATGAAGTTCTAGAAATTATTAGACATAGACAAAGTGATTAATAATATCCGCAAAGAAATGTTACACTAATGGCATGTTGAGTAATCAGTGATATACAAGGGGATAGTTCCTACAGTAAAAGTACTTATAAAGAACTTCAAGGCAGCCACAGACAGACCCCATTGGGAGCTTCCAATGTACTTTTTTAGAACGTTAGGACAAATTAAATCCTTCAGACTTTTCACACAGAGTTGAAAAGCAGTTTATATCAGAGTTAAGCACACTGTCCAGTATACAATGTGAGAGCAACACTGTTTGCAGTCTGAGGACACACCATCTACCAACCCTATTAGCCAGGTGAGACCTATGACAAGGATTAAGATTCAGGATACTACAGTAAAGAAAAAACTGAACTGGAGCCAGCTGCCAGTACCAGAAAGGACTGAGGAATTGCATTAATTCAAAGAATTCGAGCTTCATGTTTGATTTTACTATTGTAAATAATCAGACCTAACTCACATACGTAATCTGGCACAAATTCACATGTATACCTTCAAACAGGGGGTAAATAACTCAGATTAGTTAGTTCTTTTGAGATGTTATTGAAAATTGACCATGTGTGTTGGTGTCTATTTTAGACTAATTATGTTTGGCTCATTCAACTCTAAATATCACTGTTCCAAAGTGGCAGGTGTTAGACTGATGAATTAAATTAAAAGGCTAAATTTTACTTGCAATGCAGCAACTAACCGAAGAGTGCAATGGGTTGAAACAGTGAGAAGTTTTGTTGGTGGAAAAAGAATTCAACAGCCCGTTATCCATTAATCATAACAAAGGACTCATTTATACACAATGAATAAACTTTGATCAGATTGTAAAACTAAAATACAAAAAAAGGATTTTGAGATTACAGGCATCGCATTCACCATCGTTGATCTTTTAAAATATAAAATACCACATACTTTGTTGTAATTCTCATAAAATTTACATTCAGAATAAAGATTTAGAGAGACTTGTGCAACATTAGCAATTACCCAGATGTTACCCTTACCAGGAAACTCGATAACCTCCTGATTTAGTAGAAATCCAAAACTCTGGAGGAAACTCAAGCCCATAATTACACACCGTTAGGTACAAAGAGGATGGCAACATGGATAATACCTGATCTTTAAATGATTTTTTAAAAAACCCAAGAAACACAGTGAAATGCCAGAGAGTTTGTATTGCATCTTCCAAACCAATCAATAAACAAAGTGGACACAAGTTGAAACATCTTAAACAAAGTAATCTAAGTACAGTAACTTTTCAACATTAGGTTTCCCATCATTTACTGGGGCACATTTGGAATGCTTTTATTTTAGCAACGATACAATAACAAAAGTTTCATTTTAGTAAAAACAACCAATGGTTATAGTCAGGTGGCAAATATAGAATGACATTAATTTTATATCTAATCAGATTGGTGTAGATGGGAAAGGTTTGCTATGTTAGCTTTCTTCATGAGCAAGAAGTCATCAGCTGGTTTCTTCCAATGGGCTACATTTTGAATTGGCTAAATAACTAGAAACCAATCTTAAAAACTTGAGTAAAGTGAGTATAAAGACAGGCACTTAACATAATCTCAGTGTGGAAGGTTAAGCATGTACATTGGCCAAAATCATAGGAATTTTACACTCCGTAAAGCTTTATTCTGAATGTTTCACCATAAAAAATATACAACATCCAGACTTCCTCTCAGGAGTTCAGTCTCATTTCAGTGCATTATCTGAACATTGAGAAAGAAAACCCAGCTCTTTACCACAGTAATGATACAGAAATAACTAAAGTTTCCTTTGTAGAATGATAGGAATGTAAACACATGGCACAAGATCTATGGCAGCTCATCACCAGATAAAGGTGGCGGTGACTGAAGCTTGACCCGATTAAGTTACTGAAGGACTAAAGTCATTCCTAGTAATTCAATATTTCTTTTACACTGCATTAATGCCACAAGCTTCCTTCTCTCCAACAATTCATTAATTGCGTGCAGGACTTTTATTGAATGGATTCAGGGAAATCCCTCAGTTATTAAATGTATGCATCAACAGTAATATCTAAGATATGTTTTTATTATGTTGCAACTCCACTTTATTTGGTAGAACAAAGAGAAGACAGATAGGAAGAGGGTAACTGCAGGATGCACCAGTGACATGGTCACTTCCTTTGTTTTTCTATTTGCTATAGTAGTATAATATAAAGGAGCAATTATTCCAAGGTCTGTAATAAAGGATAAACAGGTTGACGTAGTGCCAGGCCTCTAACTATTACTCTATAGTCTTTATTTTAATCCTGCAATTTCCTATTATCTGCCTTTTCTGTGAATCTACCCATGGTACAACACGGTTGGGGGACAGATAGGTAACCCGTTTCCCAGCTTCTGCCCATATTGGCACTTGGGAGGAGATTGTGAGTTGATTGACCCCCTGTCTAATATTTTATCCCAATGAATGATGGGGCTGTTGGCCGATTGTCTGACACTGTCAAATATTGCCCTAATATCTTCAATGGTCGGTGCCAAAGGCCATCGACATCCAACACCCTTGTGATGCAGGTCAAGTGACACAATCGCACGCCGGATGATGTCAGCATTCACGGTGTGACATCGCCATGTGTTCGGGGTGTGGGGGGGTGGGGAGGTATCAACAGGCGAATTGATTTCCTTTCTCCCATTTAGAGATTCTGTGCTGTTGAGGGATGGATGGGAAGTATCAAAACAAATCTGAATTTTGCAACTCATCGATCGAAGACTGCTGTAGATGAGAAAAGGAATAAGCATGGCCCATGCTAACTAGACTAGAAGTCAAAACAGCTAATGCAATGCCACCCAGTACTGGACAATGGCCAGACTGGCTAAAAACAAAACCATCCAGTAAAAACAATAGATATCTGTTCACCCTAGATTTTAGGGGTATAGTCAGTCACTGTCTAATAGGGATGGTTGGGATGGGGTTGGAGCTCCAGTCAGCCACATTTTCAGGTATGAAGCCAGTCTTTTCCTTGCCAGATTTACTACTTGTTTACAAAGGCAAACCAAAAGTAAGTACAAATATTTACACTGCTTGTGCAGTTACTAAGTTTTAACAGGTTATTGCTTTTCTCCCTGCGTCTGAAGGAAACAAAAAAAGAAAAAGAAATATTTCTCTATATATTGAACAGAAGCATAATATTTTAACAAGGCATTTTGCCTACCTAGCAGGTTGGCAGATATTTCAACAATTCATAAAACACAGGTGAATGTTTCTTGTGAAAATCAGTATTCAAAAAAAAAAAGGGTTTCCGCCAATGATACAAGTACTTTGCAAAGATTTTTCTACATCTAGCCAATCAAATTGATTCATACCAGTCAGTCATGCTTGCATTCCAGTCATGGTGGTAAACACTTTGTTCTTTTGTTTACATTTTATAAAAACAGACACACACTGTCTAGTTCTTCTTAACAAGAGTTGAAGAGGAGTGAATGAAATAAAGATTCTAGAAATCAATTCCCACTGCACTAAGGGGAATAGGAAAGGTGGTTTAATACTTACTCTCCTGATGCACACATACACTGCTACATACATGGCATCCAATGGACACAAATGATATGAAAATGTACCATTGTATGGAGCTCACCAATATTATGAAACAGGATCACCTGAAAAGATGATGCAAACACAGTAAAGTAAGGAATTGATTTTTAGAGCCTTCTTTTTGTTTTATTCCACTAGCACCAAAGCCTCAGCAGTTCTCAAAAAGAGTCAACAATGGAGGATAGTCCTAGTCAGGTAGGTGGTGAATTTCATTCCAAAGCATTTGGTTCTTTACATTAGCACACTATCCAAGGATTTCCTGAATAGTTGTAGTTTCAGCAGGTGAGCAGCCATGTACGACTGAACTTCCTGGGTCACATTCTTTCCACACATACTACCCATTTAACTGAAGCACTGTGGAGAGCACCCAGCTCAATCACAGCCATTTGACTTTTCTTTATTATTTATTATTTGTTATTTCTTTTTAAAGTGACATTTCTTAGGGTTTCAGGCAATGAACCCTAGCATCTGACAAAATATAGCATTATTCTATTTCATGTATGAACCTTTAAGCAGCCTATTCACAAATTACTATGGGAAGGCACCATGCAGGTAGCGAGGCAGGAAGCAACAGCAGCAGCACGTTTTTTTTTTCTTTTTAAAGTTGGTGGACAGTTAAGGCTTGTATCAGACTCATTTTCCTCTTGGAAATTTTCATTCATTCTTCTGCAAAACAAAATAAACCAATAATTTCGGTGATGGAAGGAAGACTCACTCAAACAAAGGATATTCACCCCCTGCCATTTGCATCACTCAAAAGGACACCCTTATAACAAGTACACAAACACACTTTAAATCAGTCAAGAGGCACAGCTAATGCATCCATTACTCAGCTGAGAGCTCCAGCCTTCTTTCTGTCCTACTGGAGACCAGTATTCTGTCCCCCACGGGTCACTTGTTCACATTCTGATATGCTCCTGTTTGGTGGGCCATGGCTTTAACACAGCAGCAAAGCACAAGTGTCATATGTTTCTCCAAAACGAGGCTGGTGCACCTAACAGACAGTCAAATCAACTTCTGATTGTGGAGTCCCTCTCAAAAGCTCTCAGACAGGTGACTGTGTTCCCTCTCCGAGGCCAGCAATGTCCAATGCTAGATGCCTTCCCTATCCCAATACACTGACTTATAGGCACTGACAATATTTGAATCTTGTTTGCATATTTCCCTGCGGTTTTGTTTAGACTATGTGACTTCTTTTGGCAGATTTTAATAGATTGTGGTGTATAATTTTTCATTGTATTAGTAACTCTGGAGTCGTGTATTTGTGGATTGGTTCAGACTGGTGTTGTCACTGCGTTCTGTGTGCATCTGCAACTTTGGTGCATGCACAAACCAGACAATGAGGCAGCACCAGGAGTTTGTATTGATGCAAGATTCTCATCAAGTCAAAATCTGATGTAAAACAAATGGTCCTCACGCTTTGGAAGCTGAGGTTCAATTTTAGACAGGACATACCATTCTGTTCAAAATGTTCTTTCGCCATTTTTTTGAAGAACACCCTGTACTGTACTACACTGGAATCTTATTTATTCCTTTCTGTGTGTATCGTTTTTTTCTGAGACTTATCTTGCAAAACTGGAAAACTCTCTACGTTTAGAAATTCAATTCAAGTTGCACATTTGTCCCGGTCATCACTGCTTTTCCTGTCTGTGTGATGATGATCAACAATGAAGGATGGTCAAAGATACTCTTCTGCAAGCATTCACGTGGTTGTGATTTCTTTTTCAAATCTTTGATCCATTCCATTAACTATTTCATCCACTCGTATAGCTTAATCCAAACTGACACCATAAAAAGGATTTATGATTTTGTGGACAAATTTGGTTTGAATAACACATTGACCCCGTTTCACCTTTGCAAATTACCTGCTACGCCATCAGAGCAAACAGCCAGTATTCAGTTTTGTCCTGTCCTGCTTGTAGCTATGCCTGCCACAAAATCTACTGTCATGGTATATCATCCTCATCTATCTTGTCATACACTACTTTATCTGCAATTGCTCCATAACATCCATCATCCAACTCCACCCGAGAAAGACCCCTCTTTCTGCTGCCCTCCACTGTGCCCTCTGGAAGAGATCTCTGTAGCTTATCAGTTCTGATCAAATGGTCAAAGCACTGACTTTCTTTTTGTTGTCACCTGGTTTTTTGTTTGTTCTTGCCATTTTATGGTCTGAGCCAGATTGGTTACATCAAATGAATATTGCTGCTTATCCCAACTGAATTTGGCTGCAGTTGTAGCTGCTCCTACCTCTCCTTTCACACAATTATGTTGCTGCTCTTTCACTCTTACTTTTTATTCCAGAAGTAGTTGGGTGTTATTCAACAATAAATCATTAGGCTCATTTTTAAACTGTACCAAACAGCAAAGTGTCAGACAGGGATCCCACTTTGATGAATACAAGCCCACAGCAGTTCATTACATCTTACCCTGTCTGGTTGATGCTGACTCAGTCTTTTCTTTGATTTTAGTTCCTGTAACCACGCAGGAGGCATTTCATCTGACCTAAACAGAGGAATGCAAATTCCAAAATTTATCATAATCTTATGCAGCATAGAGAAAAAGATAGCTGGAAGTTCAATATGAAATTGTAACACATATGGATTGGCTTTGTACAATACATTGAGCCCCTGAAGCTGTCCAAACCCAGACAATTTGTACGTTTAGCAAAGGATCCCATTTCAAGAAACAGTATTTATAACAAGGAGGAAAACATGAGCAAGAGTCAGCCCCTATTGATGTACCTTCTGGAAGAAGATATCGAGTGATGTTGGGAGCAAATCCTGTTCCAGCTTTCTCAGTTGCTTGGCTCAGGAAATTAGTGAGAGAACAGAGGAGCTTAAAACACTCCAGACATTTGTACTGGAAACAGAGTTTCAACGCAATGAAAAATCTCTGCTTACCCTTCCCCTTTGTTATTTATACATGGCATCACCCTGAGCCCTTGCTGAGCAGGAGGGCTACAAGACCTGCAATGCTGCTCACAGCTTGATTCATCTTCATCATTGTCATTCTCTGTTCTATTTCTCCGCAGACTGGCCTAGAAGGAGCAAGACAGAAACAAAACAGGAGTGATTAGGAACAGCCATACTGACATTGGGTGCAGCAGAAAGCAGCAGTCACTGCAGGTGTGGTGCTGAATGAAAAAAAGTGTGTGACTGTACAATTCAGATTTAAATACACACAGTCAGTGGTGGTTGAGTGAACCACAGCCACTCTACTTCAACAGATGGAAATGAGGAAAGAAAAGCAACAAATGAGAAAGCACCATTCAGACATTGTTGGCAATGTACTAGTGATTTATCATTGTATTCTGCAGGACAGCTGACCAGGAAGCTCTCCTGCTCTTAACGCCTTCCATCAGGCTTATTGGAAGGATTTACAGACTGACATTTAATCTGGCCACAATACAAACACATTTCCAATACCAACAAGTCATGGCATGGGTCTTGAATCCAGAGCTTTTGCTCTTGAGGTAGGGTCACTACTATTGTACCACAAGGCCTCCTCATTATCTTTAGAGATCATTATCCTTATATTCTTGAATACTATTCTTATCAACATCTTCATTCAGTTCCTCTTAAAGGTGTTGATTGATAATGTGATAATTGCTCTTACTATGAGTCTAATTGATACATCCACAAAATGTCTTTCTAATTTCAGTTTTGCATAATGCCATTTAATATTACACAGTACTTACCTCTTTTACTTTTAGGCTTACAATTCAAGTTGAATAATATGCCTGACTCTACATTATCTGTTCTTCCCACCTTTAAAACCTGGATATTTATTCCACACACACCAGCTCTGTTCCCAGTCAAATAAATGCACTCTATAACTTGCAACACAAAGTCTTGGCTAATTTTTCCTTCTTATTCTCTGGACTCTGCTGAATGGCCATTAGAACAGAAGATAAACAGAAGGTTTGTTCAGTGTCGCTGGGACAAAATCCTGGAGATCCCATCCGTAACAGCATTATGGATCTACCTACAACACAGCTCACCACTACCTTCTCAAGGGCAACTAGGGACAGGCAACAAATGCTGGCCAGCCAGCAACACCCACATCCCATGAGCGAATTAAAAAAAAGTGTCTAAAATAGCACACATTACATTAAATAATCAAATAAAGGTAGGAATAATTTGTTCTGATATGGTCAAAAGAATTTTGACGTAGATCCCGATTTGACAACAATAATAGAAATAGCTGGGAAAACCTGTAGGGAATAAAAGAATTTAATGTGTCTACTCATCATCAAATCTGATGAAAAGTCATTAACCTGAAACATTGACTTGTTATAACAAGGTGTAGAGCTGGATGAACACAGCAGGCCAAGCAGCAACAGAGGAGCAGGAAGGCTGACGTT